TAATGTTGTTGAATCTTGGATGCGATAAAATCAATGTTAATTTCAAAAATAATGAAGTCATTGTTTAATTATTTCAAAATTAATGGAGCCTTTGTGTAATTATTTCAAAAAATAAGGATTTATTTTTCTTCTTAATCCATGGATACAAAACAATTATGTTTGATTCGTTTTTCTTTTTTTTACAATGGTTGGAAAACAGGATAAAAGATTGTTACTTAAATTGAATAAATCATTTATTAAATAGGATGGGAGAAGAAAAAAAAACTAAAATCAGGCCGGCCCCGAAAATTAATAGACCTTTGCATATCTATCATATTATTTATTAATAAATATAGTCTATAGATATACCAAAAATTATAGCGTTTGCGATATTAAACATATTATAAAATATTCAAATTCACCTATTACTTTAAAATGTGGAAATTATTCGGAATTAATACATTTAGTAAGCAGATGATAACAAATTTTTAATGTATAAACGTTCGAAATATCTCTAATTTTGTAATCGATTTTTGCAACGTGATTTTTGGCTTGCTATTTTTATATCATACAATCGAACGACGCTTGTAGGAATATAAAGGAAGGGGATGCCAGAAAAATAATTTATTGCTATACCCACTTTTGAATTTAAACTATTTAAAAATTAGATTGCACATCTTATATTGCTGATAAGATTCAATAGAACTTTCAATATCTTTTAAAAATTAAAAATATAGCCTTAATTTAACTCTCACTATCTCGTATAGTCTGACCCTAGCATACATCATGTCTTCGCCCATTGGCCCAAAAGAATTGATGACTAACCCTAAAAGATATCAGGAAAACAAATTGAAATGGTGGGAAACCGGAGATCCAATGGGATTTATGAGTTGAAGATACTAGAAAGCTTTTATTTAAAGCACTATTATAATATTTGTAATTGATGTTAAAGACTAAAAGATGCCTAAGCCAATGAAGCTAAGCCCTCTCTCCCGATGACTAAAATATAAAAAGATTCAATTGGATACTAACTAATGAAGCAATTGCTTTTGATTTGTAGAATATGGCAATAAAAAATTTACATAAATTTCATTAATGGATATAAAAAAATTTAGAAATATACTACAAATAAGGGCATACTTACTATTATCTTCATATCCTCGCAAAAAACAACGTACCGTCCAAATATACCATAAACTATATTTAAAATTAACTTTTGTACACTCTCCACCATTTTATTTATGACACAAGCTTCCATATTTTCTTGAGTACGGGCTATTTTTTTCCTAGCCACTTAAAATAAGAACACTTTCGTTATTTTTAACTATGAGCTAGTCTATATTACATATGCGTGCATGTAGTTGCATTCCGTCCAAAAAAGGTGGATTACCTCTTCTCAGTACATCCATTTAAAATTTTTAAACTCAATTAGATAGGAATAATCGAAAGACCAAACATAGTAATTCACACAACATACACACGATGCGCTAAATATTACGTACATATTCGAATCATTCTCTTTTATTAAAGTTGGTTTGGTTTGAAAAAAATATTTTACTTATCATATCATATTCATACATAATGAAATTAGAATAAAAAAAATTCAAGTATAATGTATGTGGGAGCCAAAATGTTGCTATATAAATTTTATTGAAGAACTTTATGCAAGTTATTGCAGGTCTAAGGACGATAGTGTAATTACGATTTTAGTCAAAATAATATTTTATAAGCCTGGAGATTTTGCTCATATATGGCAGAAATGTTTAAACATCTATTTTCCAAATCTCAAGGTTTACAAAATATTATTTTGCGTTTTTAAAAATCGATCCAAATTGGACCGTTTAACAATACTAATGGGCGGGTTATAATTTTTCTAATAGAATTTTAGTTTTGCACTTTTTACTCCCATAATTTTATAATTTATAAATCATAATTTTAAAAATTATTAATTTAAAATGTATACTAAGTTTTTGTTTTTTAATTCAAATATAAATGACATATTTTTTAGCCAAATAAATATATTACATAAGCCTTAAAGATTTGGCTGGCATCTAAATGCGAAGTCTCAGCTTATTAATATTGGCTAAAATCTTTCTCGAAGTTTCGAGTCTTAGTAATATTGGCTAAAATCTTTCTAACATCTAAATGCGAAGTCTCGAGGCTTAGTAATATTGGCTAAAATCTTGATAAAGGCTTTTGCCAACACTAGCAAAATCAAGGTGTTTGTATTTTGCGTTTTTTTCTTCAAATTAATGTATTTTAAATGGAATCGTTTTTTTTCTAGGCGCATTGCCAGTGGTGAGGGAGAGGGGAGGGGTGTTTTGAATATATATAAAAAGATTTATGGATTTTAAATTGCATATTCGATTTCAAATAGGTTGTATTCAATTTTAATTTTAGCAAAAGGTTAAAATTAAAAATATTTCTTCCTTGTGTATTAATATTTTATCCCATAAAAATTTAAAGTATATCATTGTCTTGCTATTTTTTAAAACTATATAAGATTTTATTATAAAAAATTATATTTAATTTATCTCTTCGAATAACTTATGATTAGGCAAAATTTATAGTATGTAAAAAGTTCAGATATCCAAAGATAAGGAATTTGCTTAATAAAATTATTACTAAGACTTCTTGTGCTACAAAAAGAAATTGCAAAAACATGCTAGACAAGATGGAGACGTCGGCATAAAACTTTTACAGAATTTTTGGATCTAGAATAAACTATTTTGTGTGCCTTAAGGAAATATCGTAATGGCCTTAACCATATATTTTACTTGAAGCTGATACGTTATTAGAAACAAATCGATAGCCTATTTTTTTTTGCATCTGAATGTATTGATAAATTATTTAATTGCACAATTTTATGCAGTATTTTTCAAAAAAATCATCTGAATTTGAGTGAGGTAATGAGAATCGCGAATATTATTATCTTATAACTTAGAAAATTAAGAGATAATAGACGATGAATATCCCGAGATTTATGTGATTGTTGAGGCGAAAGCGAAATTATATGATTTTTAGATTAGTGCTTCGATTTGCACCTAGACAAACAAATCCTTCAAATATTAAAAGGGACAATTGATGATTACTAAAATAACCGTTTTTCACTTTGAATTTTGGATAAATTTTTACCTCATATCAATGAAAAATTTCTGATTCATCAAATAACTCTCTCCAATTTACTAATATTATTACCTATAAATTCTTCTGCTGGGGATATATTAAATCTTAGGAAAAAATAAACATTTTGGCTAAATTTTATTCGAAGAATATAAATTTATCTGAAACCCTTTAATTCAGTAGCGTCTAAGGTGGTGCAAGCAGAAAAATTTGAATAACTCCCTGAGCGAAATTTTTTATTGGCTTTCTAAACCCTTAGAACGATTATTTTTTAAAATTCTGTTATGTATAACATATAGATTTGATATTATTTTTTAAAAATTTAAAGACTACATAAAAAATTTTTAAATGAAGTGTTATTTTAATTATTAGATTAATACTACAAATTATATTTTCACTGTTAACAATTGCAATCTATTTTCATATTATAGAATTGTTATTTTTGAAATTCGATATTTAATAAATTTCAATAAAATAAATTGAATGGATCATAGCTTAATAATAGATCGAGATTTAATCCCTAATAAATATTGAAATATTAGCATAATCGGTAAAAAAGATTAAATTTTAATTTATAAACGATATTTTGATTAACTTTTTAAATCTGATAATGTTTAATTCTATATTTTACGCTGATATACCTGTTTATATATCTATAATTTTTTTAATAATATCATATGCGCTCTAATATTTTTGTATTTCCCAATATTCTTTATTTGTATTATAAATTGATATTTAAAATATGATTGGATATATAATAAATTTTATATTATGATTAGTTCTAATAAATTTTTAATGTTTCAAAAAAAACCATTTCAAATATAAAGAAAATTATCCCCTCCTGTAGAAAATTCCTGGCTAGTGTTGTTAAACGGCTCGTTTTGAGCCGATTTTTAATAACGGCTAACTCAAAATTTTAGCTAGAAAAATATTAAATAAGCCTCGATATTTTGCTAATTAATGTCTAGACCTTTGCGCCATCTATGAGCAAAATCTTCAGGCTTGCGTAATATTATTCTGGATAAAATATTGCGTTAGCCATTTTTAAAAATAGACTCAAATCGAGTGGTTTAACAACACTATTCCTGGCTACGCCTGTTTTTTTTTTGTTAAAACTATGTTCAAAATAAAAATTCGATTCTCAAAATTTTTTAAACTTTATCGAAAAAAAAAAGAAATAAGTTATTTTATATAAAAATAAAAACATGTCCAAAATATAATTCTAGAAAATTTTAAAAATTTAAGATAGGATTTCAAAATTTTAAAACTCCTCGAATTTTTTTAAAAAAGATTTTGGAGATGGCCTTAAAAAGGCGAAAAAATTTGTTTTTTCTTTTTTAATATTATTTTTTCAAACATATAAAAAAAAAATACCATTTATATAACAACTAAGCGCTTTGTACCACAAAGCTAAAACGACTGCACAATTTTTACCCAATAATATTTATTCTTGGGCATTTTTTAAAATGGGATTCGTGAATAAGTAGCATTTTAATTTTGTAATTTATATACTTAATTAGTGTTGTTAAAGGGTTCATTTTGAGCCGATTTTTTTTAAAAAAAAAGGCTAACTCAATATTTTATAAGGAAAAATATTAAGCAAGCCTTATGATTTTGCTCATAAGATGGCACAAAGGTTTGAACATCAATTAACGAAATCTTGAGGCTTGGACAATATTTTTCTGGATAAAATATTGAGTTAGCCATTTTTAAAAATCGGCTTAAACCGAGCCGTTTAACAAAACTAATTATAATTCACATTTTAGAAACATCTTCCCTTCATAATTTAAAAAAAAAGTTTAATCTCAAGCACGTGTTATTTATGATTTTGGGGTTGGTAATAGCATGAAAATAAAATTCTCTTAAAAAAAATCAATTTGGAAAGAAATAAAACTCACGTAGATCAAAGGAATATAGCGGATCCAAATTTTTGATGGATGAAACGTAGAATTGTAAGCAGAAACATATGATTTGGATAAATAGGAAAATAGTGTCATCTATATTAAAGTAAGCTGAAAATCGCATTTTTATTTCCTATGCCTATTATATAGGCATTTTCGTTAAGTTTATATTTTTCTCCATTTATCTTTGATATTTAGAAGGATGTTATCAATTATAAAGTTAACATCATAAAAAATTGTTTATAAATTGATAAATTTGAAGAAATCGTAAAATTGATTAAAAAAATATTCAAATTTATCAGCCATAAAAGAGGCGTTAATAAAAAAAATTCACTTTTAAAAATTGTTTTATTATTATTTAAAATTATAATGTATTTTATTTTTCATTATTTTATTTTATTTTATTTTTTATTATAATTATTTATTTTTAATAAATATTTTTGCCATTGTTGATATTTTTATATTTTATTTACATTTAAAATTTATGATATGGAGAAGAGAAATTTAAATTATCATAAAAGCCATATCAATAAATTATAATATGAATGAAATAAAATAAAAAAGGAGATAGAAATCATAAGCGTATCCATTTAAGATCTTCCTATGGGGAAGGGAGGGGGGGGGGGGGGTTTAGTTAAATTTTTTAGGTTTGGTTCACTTTTTTAATAAAATACCGCTATTCGTTATTTTAGGCTGTGTCCAAATCATAAAAAAAAAACTAAATTTGATAAACTTTAATAAAATTGAAAGCCATAATTTTAAATATCAAATTAAAAACATGTCCGAATTCTATAAAATTTAACACTACGATTTCATTAAAAATTTGAGAAAGTTTTGAAACTTATCGAAATTTTTTAAAATGGTTTTGGGCACAGTTTTAGAAGATTTTGAACTTATCATGTATTTGTAGGGGAAATTTTTTTTTTTAAATGAGAAAAGGCAAATTTTCGATAGGGAGGGAAATTACTCACCCCTTGGTTAAGCACATGAAAGAAATTTTAAAAAACCTCAAAACTTTTGTAAAATTATGAAACATCTCCATCCCATTTTGATTAATATAACTGCCAATTTTTTATTATAACTTAAAAAATATAAATTAATATAGCTTACTGTGAAAATTTCACAACTATATAAACTTTTTTCATAAATTCGAGAAAAACTTCGGTTAAGTTACGAAAGTTTAAATTATATATTTAATATTTAGGTCATAGACTAATGACTACTAAACTCTCAATTTCTCCAACGCATAGGAATAGCAAGAAACTTATGGCCAGAACTATAAAGGAGCGAAGAGAATAATGGAACCGGTTAATTGCATTCTGGATAGGAGTTATTCAACGCAACTTACAATTATAAGCCCACTATATCCTTCTTATTTGTTTGAAAGAGGGTGATTAGTAATAATTTGGGATTTCCAATTGATAATATCACTATCATAAGAAGGATCAGGTTCTATAAGGTGAACAACTGAATATGAAAGCAGTTAAGTAAGGAAGGAGATTTCATACATAATCCACCAAGGTAAATAGGCTTGTGTCCAAGCTTTCATTGAAAATAAGGTTTACAATATTTTCAATCAGAACTTTGATTCCATTCTCAAAAACACCAAGGGGTATGGGATAGGAAGAAATATTAAAAATTTTCCAAGAGAAAAAAAGCTTTATGAGCGAAGTAGGGAAAATCAATTAGCAACTCAAAAGCGTTTCAAGAGTAGTATGAAGGAAGGAAGAGATTGCTGTGTTACCGCTAACAGGGGAGATTGAAATTGTGTAAATTTGGTTCAATTGACTTGAGAGAAGTAAATTCGGATTCCTCAGGGTTGATAGAGAGTATAATAACAGTCCCAGCCTCTATGATCAAATTCACAGGTTTATTGACTTTTCCATTGGATCAACCAATGATACCATTATCAATATACCGGGAGTGTGAGGATGAGTAACACGTCGAGTTAATGGATTTACTTTGTCAATGAATATCCAAACAGAAAAATAATGATCCAGGAAGATTCCCTGTAAATAGAATTTATAAATATCGAATTGCAGGATACAAGGCTGATGATAACAAGAATGGGAAATTTAGTGTAACCCAGAAAAAGGATACATGAGAAACTCAGGAAAAAATTCTGAGAAAGTGTATTATAAAAACATTGGAGAAGTGAATTTTGATCAACGAATCGTTGATAGGCACATTTTATAAGTGTAATCCAGTTAAATGTACAACTTCATAGTAACCAGAGATATTAATACCTAGTTGAAAAGAGCTGAGAAGAGATGAAGCTTCATGCTTTATTTGAGAAGATATAAATTTAACAACTAGGCGTCGAAAGGTAGAACCTATTGCAATTGGTCGAGCATCATTATTGGGCTTTTGAAATGCAATTAGCCTAGCACCAAATTGGATTGGAAAATAGAAGTTACCTTTTAAAATTTTATTGCAAAGGTCAGTTATTTTCGTAATAATGGGAATTTATGAAGCATATTAAAGGGAAGTGATGCCCTGGTTGAATATATAATGGATATCATCAAGACCATGGGCTGAATCTCTGAAAGGAAATAGCCTTCCTCACTTCTTTGTAAATTGAATGGCACATAAGATTGAGGTTGACACGATATTGGGATAATGGTTGTTATAGGGCGTTTATGGTAGAGTTTAATAGTATCGAGAGAAAGTTCGGCTAGAGAGTTATGAGCGTATACAATCTGATAGCACCTTTTATATTAAGATTGTCAATTTTCTTGGAAATCAAATTGGCTTTAAACTCAATAGGTTAGGTTTTTTTGTTTCTGATAAGCATAGACTTCTTGTTTTCTTGCATATAAGTGGCAACAATAGATGGGCATCCTTTGGTGAGTTAGGGATTTATGTGAAGTTTTGTCGGGGTGAAGCTGTTATATACATAGAAAGGGAATTTAGGCCGTTTATTTTCATTACTAAAGTAATAAGGTAGATACACAATCAGCAAAATATTTAGCAATTCAATCTTGCATCTCTATGGTCCTTAAATTGATATTGGCTTGGAGTAGTCGAGAAAAAGCCTGAGAAGCAGGAATTTAATGTGAGGAAGAGGAACAAAAATTTTCGGAGGAGTAATTGATTGACAAGGAACAATAAAGCACCAGAATGTGGATAAATAGTTGTGATTTATGAACTTGAAAACAAACCATCATATCTAATATGTACTATTTTCATATATGAAGGACGGATTTGTGAAGAAGGCATAAAGAATCAAGGGTGATAACAACAAGTTATAGAGCAGCAATTATAACGACCCGAACGATGGTGGCTTACACCAAAAAAGAACTTATGTCGGCATAAAAAAACAAAAATAATAAAATGACGCATATTCAGTAAAGAGGGAAAGATTAAAAAAATAATATAAAACCGCGCGATAATTTAAAAAAAAATAAAAGCCAAATATAATAACACGATAGTTAAATCACAGAGTAAATCTGATAATAAATACAATTAGAATCGAGTGAATAGAAATGGAATAATATGCCACAAATAATTGATATATGTCTATGGGATATATAACAAGACACTATTGAATAAACTACATTTTACCAGTTAGACATTCAATATTCGATGTATTTAGTATAAAATAAGAAGCGAGTTGATAAAATATAATGTAATATTGTTATAATTTTAGCAGAGTGAAAGGCTAATGCGAAATGTTATAGCACAATTATTAAAACAATCTAAGTGAAAAACCAAGGCAAAATATTTCCAAAATCTAATAAGAATCGAATGATTTGAAAAGAGATAATAGCCGACGAATAATTAATATATGAAATACCCAACGGATTACAAATTAATAACTCTAAGTTTAATCAGAAAGACATTTAATATGAGCAAGTTCTACTATATGTAATTAGTAATGAATGGATAAAGAATAATGTTGTGCGATAAATAAAGCAGAATGGTCAATACGAAATATAAAAGAAGGAAGTGAGGAAAAACACAATATCTCCAACAAGAATGCAATATTATAATATGCCTAAAATATGCAAAGAATATTAATCAAAGAAATATCAAGCAAAGCGCAAGCAAGACGCTCAGAATAAGAGATTTCTAGATATAAATTTTTTTTTAAAATGTAAACTTTGAACTATTTCAACGGCTAATTTAAATATTTGCTAAACATTTTTTTTTCTTCTAAAGTTTATTTAAAATATTTTTTATTTCAATTTATATAATATTAAACTTAATTAACTTATAATTAAACTTGTATCTAAGATACTATATTTTCAAAGGAATCTCCTAAATTCTATTTCTATCTTTAGTGCCCTCCCCTTTATTATTCACCGCTGGCTAGAAAGGTTTTGTCGACTTTCTTTGCAAAAAAAGCAGAGTTCTTAGAGAACTAGTCGTGCAAAAATGAATAAATAAAAAAATTATTAAAAAAAGCAAACTAGTTGGCATTTTTAAAATGGTTTTATAGCTAAGCGGTAATTGACCCATTTACAAGATACCATTTTGAAATTTATTATTTGTGTTTACAATTAATTTGTGCCCACTATAACAATAAAAACCATAAAATTTTATTTAAGAAAAATAATTTGGTTTTGGATAACTAACTAAAGAACTAAGTGTTATCGCATTTTTAAATGTATTTAAAAAAAGAAAAATAACATTATATAATCTATGAAAAATATTTTATAAAATTTGTGTCCATTTTTTTTTAGAATGGATAAACAAAAAATTATCGATTTACGATAGCATAATGATTTTTCTGTCTGGTTTACGAAAATAATAATAATAATAAAGAATTTGTTCCTAAATGATTAAATAATGGACTAGACTTTTATAATTTGCTCGATGAATAAATTTAGTCTTCTTTTTTTTTAATATTTATATTCAAGACCAGAAGAAGCTAGGCCTTGAAGGGGCAGCAGGTGCCTCGTGGGAGAATGATTTTAAATTTTTGAGGGCGGCAAATTTGAAAATCTAAATTATTAACTATTCACTTTTATTTTATTAACTCGTATTTTTGTAGGGCATGTTTATATTATAGTATATAAATATAAAAAAATACAATTCATTCTTCAACGGATATTACTAACAGATGAGGGAAGGGGGGAGGGGGGCGGCTCTAATTGATTTATAAAAAAGTTTCTATAATTTTTTAATCTATATATAATGCTCTCATACCCCCTTTTACCCGGCCATTAGCCGGGATATGTCCATTGATTTATATATTAAC